CTAGTTTGTACTAGTACTAGTTTGTACTAGTACTAGTTTGTACTAGTACTGGTTTGTACTAGTACTGGTTTGTAGTTTGTTCCTTCCTGGGTGGGATCCATGTGCAATTTTTTTTCTCCATGAGATACATTTCAATATGCTCTTTGCAGGAGTAACATAGATTGCACAATAAAATATCAATAGTGTAATATCCTAAAAGAAAAGAAAACACCAATCAACAAAACAAACAAAAGAAAAAAACTCTGACTGTTATTTTGGTTTTATTACTAAACTCCTGCCACTGATGACAGTATGGATGGTGGGCAACATTTGTTTTTAAACATTCATTATGCAATTTTGAGTTATTTTTGCCCACGCAAAATGTACCTTTATATTTATTTAAATAAAATTATGTGTAATGATGTTAGAACTCATTGAATTACATTTGTGGATCCCATTTTCTTTTTTTATTTTATTTTAGAGTAAAATTTGATTGCCCAGCAGTAAAAAAAAAAAAAGGGGGGGGGAGCTTCTTTGTTCATTGTGGCATTTAAATCGTTCAGTTTTTCTTTGTGTTAATCCAGGTTTAGGCTGTAAGAAAGAAAGTGTCCAGATTAATAATAAACAAGGGGTAGGTTTATTTATATAATGATGTGCATTTCTTAATATCTAACGAATAAAACCCGTGTGAAGACAGTGTGTTTTTTTAAAGCGTTGCTTCATAGTAGTTCTGCTGTGAAGCTGCTGAATTATTAATGAGCGGAGCAGCTGCCTGCGGGTTTTCAGACCAAAGTAGTCAACTCTGATAAAACAAACACCTCATTTTAAAAGGTTTAACGCGGATTGTTGGTACGACAAAAGCAGAATCAAACATATTTAAGAAACCAAGCTTTAATTGTTATTTTGCTTTCAGTATACTTTTGAGATATAGCCCAAACGAGCTGTACAGATCTCTGTTATCGATTGATCGCGACTTGACAGCGATGCGAGACTCCCATTGATTGATCTCCCCTCCACTCCCCGCTGACCAGAGAAAACACCCGATAGCGAATGCGAGAGGGGATTTAAATTGAACAAAAACCCGTCCGCTTTAGTTGACGGACAACGCTGCCGTCTGCCTTCTCACGCTGGTTGGCGTCGGCCGCTGGTTCTTGTTTCGGAGCTACAGCTAAGCGTTAGCGCAGGGCGGCGTTAGCTGGGCTGTAATGTCGGCACGGTTGGACTTGTTTTCCCCCGTAGACCTCGCTTCCTGTTAGCCTCGGGCTCGCTGGAAAATCGAAATTATGTTAATGAACGAGCGGGTTTAGTTAGCCAACACAAAAGAGGGGGTGTAACTTTGCTATGTGCGATAGCCTGTCCTTCCACCTGACTTCTGTTTTTCCTTATAAATCTATGCTGTTAACTTTTATTTAATGCCCCTTATCCGGGTTAGTTTGCTAGCGCGTGCCAGCTAGCCATCTTTGCTCGGGTTCACGGCTTGAACTGTTAAACTTGGTTAGTTTTTCTTTTTACGACAAAGAGCAGGCGATTTTAAGTTGATGGTTAATATATGCGAAGGCAGCGAGCTCACTTGTGCCTATTAAATACTTTAAATTCCCGTGACGGTGTTTACTGTGTAAATACCAACGGCTTGTTCTGCTACTTGTCGATTTATTTTGAAGAATACGTGGAAACTACTCTGGATATTTTGATTACAATAATAAAAAAAGGAAATCAAATAGGAATTGTAAATTTCATGCAGTGTTAGTGGATTGATGCAGATAGTATTTGCATTTTATTTGACATCGGTTCTTCCTTCAATCTGCAGCTTCCAGGTTTGATTTATCTTTATATTCATTTAGATGCAGTTTAGAGGAGCTAATATTTAGAAGTATTTAGTAAGATAGCGGTAGCCTCTCCTCATCCATCTATCCACCACCTCCTCTCCTGCCATGGATCCCCCCAGGACTCGGTCGCGCTCTCGATCTGGTTTCTATCACTTTTCAATGAACGGCAGCGTTGCGGGAAACGACGGAGGCTTGATGAACGCCAGTGGAGGAGGGGTGAGCTACCCGCCGCCGAGTAACCCCGGCTGGGCACCGCACCACGGAGGACGGAGCTTCCCGGAGGGCCAGCAGCAGCAACAACCGCTGCCGCCGCCTCAGCAACACGCCCAGGGGAGCTACCTGTCCGCTGGGGTGCAGCGCCACTCCGCACACGGAGCTCACCGACACCCCGGGGCAGGTAAGCTGGGGCCACTACCACACTGGATGCATCATTACGCACTCACACAGGGTGAGCCCCCCTGAGGGATGTAGGTAGGCAGGTAGGCAGGCCACTTGCAGATCTATCAGACTCTGAGTGCCACTGTCAACTGATGCATAGAGGGTCAGCTGGATGCTCTACAGCAGAGGGCTTCAACAGGGGGTCCGTGAACCCTAAGGGGTCCGCAGAGGTACTGCATGGGGGTCGTGAAAGTTTTTTCCACTAATTGAAATGTCTTTAAATACATATTAACATGAACTCAAGACATTGATGTATACAGATAAATGGAGGCAGAAGATGTCTTTCAGTCTTCAGGAGCTCTTTCAAGCTGGGCACCTTTTCATTCACAACACCTGTCCCATCAACCAGGAATCAGAATCAGAAATACTTTTATAATCCCAGGGTGAAATAACTTTTGTCACATTACTTCATCTGTAATAAAGTGACTATAGGAGCAGTTTGATATAAAGCAATTTCATACAATATGTATAATTAGGTGTCCCGCTTCATCTCGCCCTCAGTTTGGGGGACCTTGGCCTGGAAAACCTTGAAGACCCCTGCTCTACAGTGTAGTTGATCTGCCGGGAAGGGTTTAATCATATGCACCAAAAAAAAAAAAAAAATGTTGGGTCTACTTAATTTAACAAAACATTGGTTGCACACAACCGGCCACTTTAGGTAAATACAAGTCAACCACTTCCCCAAAGCTGTATTTGATCAATTAAAACAGAAGAGTTGGGTTTTAAGAGATGGGTAACTCCATGGGACCTGCAGGATCAAAGGGGATCAAATATTCCCCTCCAAAAAAAAAAAAAAAAAATGCAGTTTTCATGCTCAGAGGGCCTACAGGCCACATAGATTAGAGGTTTTCTTTTAGAAACTCTTATGGTTAACTGCTGTATTTAAATGTGACAAATTGGTAGGATTAAAGGAAATTGGAAGCGATGGCTTGCTTGTTTCATAATAAAAGTGTGTCATTTCAAACATGTTAGTTAAAAGCATTATGTTTTGTACAGAATTAATGTTTTAATCTATTTTAGCTAAGAGGCAAACATGGGTCTCATATTTACAGAGAGGTCGCTGACATTCACAAAGTTTCAGTTTGTGACTCTAAAAAAACTGCGTTAATAGAAGTGAAAGCTGAATGTTGTATATTATCCATTTTAAGAGTATTTTAATTTGAAATAAAATGTTAAATTTAAATCTGCATTTTCTTTATACATTTAGCGTCCCTCTTCTTTTAATGGTTTGAACAAACTGATTCATTTTTCTCAAATGCTCTGACAGTTGAAGAGCAAAAGAAATAACGTCTGTTGAAAACATTTTTTTTCCCTGTTACTTGCTCTATTTTTGTGTGATATTAAAGTTTAGTGAGCACATTATCCTTGTTAGAAATTGTAACTTAAATTTTATTTGGATTGATTGACTGGCAAATAAAGGTGTTTTTTTTATTTATTTTTTATCCCTTAGGGGGGAAAAAAGGTACTGAGAAATATCTGCCAGTCAGAAAATTTGATGTTATTTTTTTTTTCCTTTTATATTTTCTTTTGGGATGAACTTGCTCCTTAATCTTAGAAAAAAGGGGTTTACCTATCACATGATCTGCAAGTGTATCTTAATTTTATCATTTTGTTTTGCTTTTTGGATTTTCAGGAGCTTTCCTAGCTCCATCACGGTATTAACTGCAGTTTAGAAACAATTTAAATTTCCAGATATGCCGTACTTTAAAATGTATTTTTAAAGGAAAATATGACTTGAAACATTTAGCTACAAAGATCTTCATTAAAACTACTTCAACTTCTGAAAACCTTTAAGGCAGGAGTTCGTAGACACGTCAGACTAGGGTTGCAACTACTGATTATTTTGCGAATCAATAAATCTTTGGTTTTTTTTTTGTTTTTTTTGTATAGCCAAAGGTTCCTTAAAGAAAAATTTTTGTAAAATTAAACCTGGTGAAACTTAAACTTTTCCACTTGAGGAGTTCTGGATAGAGTATATTGACAGATGGAAAACAATTTTTATCGCAAATGCAAAATTGTAACTTTTTTTTTTTTACAATTTTAGTATAGTTGCATTAGATTCTCTACACTCCAGTTAACAATTAACCGTTTACTAAATTGGTTAACGAATATTGCAATAATCGATTATTCATGATTAATCCGATAGTTTCAGCCCTGCCTCAGGCTAATGTTTGCTCTCCATTCTGTTTCTACAAGTTAAACATTTGGCTCATGTTTTCTTTTTTGTTCCAATTAATTGTGTGTATAGAACATATAGAAGAGTTTTTCTTCTGCTTCAGGAGCTAAGCACTGTGATTTGAACCTGTAATTATAAGCAATTATTGTTCTAACTGGATTCTGCAGTTCTGTCCACGTTTTTTACACTGCCAGTTGAGTCTAGGCTAAATACTGGAGAAAAAAAAATTCTTTTTAAGATGACTGAATGCAAAAACATTTTCCATTTATCAGATGAGATGAGTCCATATCCCAGAGTTTTAGATATCCAACAGAAAGCTTCGCTCTGTCTACTCCAAATGCATGGCATTCTTTATCCAAAGCACTTCAAAGCCTTGAAACAGCCCTTCGAAATTTAGTTTGAAATGAAATCCAGCTCCCCGGTTGTGATTTTTATCTTTTTCCCTGTCTGCCTTAGATTGCTTACTGCTGCGACACTAGCTGACTTAGTTTTACTCTCAGTTCAGTTTTTGTCATTTTTATCCATGATCACTAATTGTCTTAAACTTTGATTCAGCTGCCTTAAAACTCTTGTGCTACCCTAAAATTGTCAGATTTTTGTTAGTGAGTCATGGCAGAAGAAGGTAGATATTTCAAGTATGTGGACCTCAGATCAAATTTTATCTGTAATGACTGACATAAAACATTCATTCATAACAGAAAAGATTGAATAAAACAGATTTTAATATTAAGCTGCAACCAAGACACCCGTATTTCTTCATGCCGTGAGTTTCCACTTCAAGGTTCACTGAGTTTTCCCTGCTGACCACTGGAAAGTTGCTGGAGAAAACTTCTGTCAGCAGTCTGGATTCTATCAAAAAGAAAAGAAAAGAAAAAAAAAACCCTCTGAGATTGTTTAAAATCCAGCTTTTCCTACAACTGTCATGTTTGTCCCCAAGAAGCTGGAATAAACCACACAGAGAGACGTATTTCCTAATCTAACAAGCTACAGCCAAGTGGGTGGAGGAGACTTGAACATTAATGTTGTCAGCCGAGCACCTGTCTGCGTGTGCGTGCATACAGAGACCGGGTACGTTTATTTGATCGTACTTATTAGAATCTGCTCACATGGACTCACAGCACCACTTTAAATCCAACACCACATTGCTGTAATTAAAGACACTACATCAACACTAAATGCGTTAAACATTTTCTGCCTGCTTAGACCTAATTCTCTGTTTTCTGTCAGGCCTTCTGACATTTGTCTGGAGAGGAAGAAATGGTGTCAGTCTTCCCTAGCAACTATGCTTGAAGGAAACAGGGTCACGTCTGCTCGCCAGTGAAACCCTTCTGTTCTGGCTTGAAATCCCTTCTCCTTTTGCCCTTGGGATGAATTGGCGTAACTAGACCTAGTTTTCCATGAAAATGGAGGGATGTGTGGACTGAATGCAGAAGAAAGAGAGCAAAAAAAAAAGAATTCTGGATATATAAAGGTGCAGCGTGTTGACCCTGCTGTTGGGCTTTCATCAGCTATTGTCAGGATGTTCTTAGCTTCTAAGCAACTGATGCGTTGGGTGGATGGGCGCCCGTCCAATTTAACCTTAAGAGAGTCGATGCTTTTCTTTTATTAGGGCTAGAACCCAATATTATTGGCAGAGAAGTTTCCTTACAATAAGTCTTGCTAATTTGCTTGTTAAATACATTTTGGTTTCGAAAATATTAAACATGGTTAGGTTATAGGTCCGAAAATATTAGTCCTTGTTTGATTAAGATCATATTTACTAAACTATACTCCTAATTCTTTAAATATTTTGAAATGTGATTTATGACCTTTAAAGGAGCATATTGGAAGTTCCAGAGTTTTTTTTTTTTTTTTAAGTTTTCCTCCTCTGGCAACAAGTTAAAATTTGACCAAAAATGGCCATTCCCATGGCCAATCTGAGCTTCCTCCTTGTTAAAAACATTCCCAAGATTTTTCTCTTTTTAATCTGTTGCCAATTAGACTACTGGCTGATGCTTTCATTGTGGTGGAGACTCAACGAATTAGCCAGGTTAACAAGAGCATGAAGTGCGTCACACCAAAGCTAATGCCCAGAGAATACGATCCAAATCATTCTAATATGAAACCAAACAGGTTACTCTGGTGATTGGAGGATATCTAATTTTACTAGGGTTGCAACTATGATCGATCTATTGATTATTTTTATTTTTTTTATTTATTTATTTTTTTTTGACTAATAATGGGACAGAAAAAGGTTCCTTTAATGAAGATTTTTTTTATGAAATTAAAACGGGTGAAACTAAAATGTTTCCTCTTGAAGAGTTCTGGACAGAGCATATTGACAGATGAGAATGTTTTGTTCTTTTTTTAATCTTTAATGCAAAATGTTTATATATCTATATATTTTTTCTACAATCTTGGTATAATTGCTACTAGTGGATCGCTCTGTCAGCTATAGACAAGTTTTACAGTCTCTATACTCCATTTAACGATTAATCGATTACTAAATTAGTTGACGATTATTTCAATAATCGATTGTTTCAGGCCTACATTTTAAATTTCTTGAATTGTATGCAGGTATGTGACAGAAAACAAGTTATATTTATTTTTGATAAATCATTAAGCTGGTTTAAAAAATTGCAATGCAATTTTAATTTCATTTAATTTTGGTTCAACGTTTTTTTTTAATATATTTATTTATATTATTTTGTCTTTACATCTGACTTAGCAATTCAGGCTGCCATAACAAAAAACAACTTTCCTTCTAAATAGATATCAGTTTTTGCCTTCTGTTCGGGACATTATTTATTTAGAGTGTGTGTGTATGTGTATGTGTATATGTATATGTGTATATATATATATATATATATATATATATATACACACGTCTGCCCACGTTAGAACTACACTGCATTATTTCCATGTACAAAAACATGACAAAGCATTAGAATGCTGTGGAAAAAATATTTCTGTAGTTTTCTTGTTTTTTTTTTTTTCTTAGTCTTTGTTCCTATTCTGACTTTGTAGCCTGCTAAAAAGTAACACACTGTTCGTTCCATGACATCTCTGCGGAACATCCAGATCTTTAAAGCTTCTTTTGTGTTGCTGCACACTAAGTCTAGTTAGCAGCCTCTCAGAAATCTACAGGACACTTACTGGAGAGAGTCCCATAAATCCTCAAACATCTGAGAGATGCATAGATGGGGGTATCTATTCTACGAACAAACCTGCTTGCATGTATCGCCTCTAAAGCTTTATAGATGTTCGCGGCAATTTGTTTGATAATCTTCAGCCACAGCTCTGCCATGTTGAGAGCAGTGGCTCAGCAGACCAATTAAAGAGTCAACATGCTCTACGTTGAGAAGTTGTATACGTTTGTAATCCCAGTCTGAATCTGGGACACCCCAGTGCAGGTAGAGATGCCTCTACAATAATTTGTAAATGTCTGATGATGGTTGAGGATCCTCTGTGTTAACCAAATCTTTAAAAAATCCCCCCCAGTCTAGTGTTAGTCCACTTGCATCGTCTGTAGCAGAAACGGCCTAACTCAGGCCAGTAGATGACATGTAACCTCAGTATATCATTTCCTATAATGGGTAACTTGCCATTACTGTTTGTCTCTCTGGTTAACTAAAGATTGTGAGAAAGTTTACCAGAGTAGTCGGATATACATCCATTGTTTGTTCAGGATATCCGAGGGATTGGATTTCCCAGTACAGGGAGATGGTTTCTGGGCAAGTGGGGGAATTTTCTTCTTTCTTTTTTGCACAAATATGTATATTTTACATATTTGCATACAACAGCTGTCTTATTGAGTACATCACATGATGCTATACATTCAGCCACTCCCCATTGTGACTGTGGGTGGCTTTTGGCGCCTGGAGCTGATGTCATCAGACGGTGCCCAACCTTCATGGGGTGTTTCGACCCTTAACCACTACACCCTCCAGCTGGCGGGTCAGCAGTGGTGGACAGGTCACTGCCCATCATCTCCAGGCCTCCAGCCCCCCTCCTCCCTCTTAAACCACAGCCAGCATGAGGCTCTCTCTGCTGCCTCCCCAATACTGCACACAGCTGTCTTCCTCTCCTTGCCAGATATTCCAAGTGCAGTGAGCACAGACCACATTGACTGTGCTGGGAATCTTCTGCACCCGACCTCCACTAGAAACAGCCATGCTAGTAATTATTTTTATACTGTATTGCTGCCACAATATGGACCCCAGCATAATGTTAATGGCAAAATGCAGAGGGTTTGGTTCTAAGTCAGTCTAAAACTATATTACTTGATAACTGTCATTTCTTTGGCTTTTCATGTGCATAAATAATCTACATCAGTGTTATTGTTTAATTAGATTTTGCATTAAAAACAAATTATTTTATATAAAGTCTTAAACAAATCTGAATGTTGAGCTCTAATCTAAAATAGTTTTGTTGCAGTGCTTTTCAAAATAATTTTATGCAATTACTCTTTTTAACTTGTAGGAGAAAGAAGGGTGAATGGGGCAGCTTGGCTCCTATTGTGTCGCCATAAGTGGTTAATAGTTTGCCCTCTATCCATTATAAAAGCTTAAAGTCGGTATTTGTGGCTGTAGGTGTTATTAGGTTATAGTGAGAGCTTTTTTGTGTCACTGCAGTGTAGAAGAGCAGATTCTCTGTTAAAACCACATTTTGAACCGCCTTTTGCTGCTAATGTTTTGGTTTATTGAATGTAGATAGTAATCCAAAGAATTGGGAGTATGGTTATCAAATTTGCATCTGTTTTCAATTTGCATCCCTTGTTTATCTAACCTGCAATTGCAGCCAAAGCAAATTCAGTTTCTAAAGCTCTAGAACAAAAAAAAAAAAAAAAAATCAACCTTTCTTCATTTGCATAAGAAAATATTGTAAATCCCCGCCTGGTTTGTCGTTATCCTTCTAGGTGCCTTACGTTGACTCTTATAGTAAAGCTGTGAGGTCCAACTAACACATGCTGAGATAATGTACATATCTGTCAGCTGTTGCTTCTTTCTTTTCCCAATTTTCTTTAGGGAACCTGCTGTAAATTCACTTTATCTTTTAAAGCTGTTAACATTACTAAATCTCTCCCATCAGCATTAAACTGAACTATTCAACAACCTGGTTAACTTGCTGTGGGTGAAAGATGACCCGCCTCCTCTGTTTGTTATGGATGTGTTTTTGATGGCTAAGCAAACATCAGTCAGTCTTGTGATGTTGTTTTTCTCAGCTCCGTTTTTATCTGATTTGAGTTTTTTAATTCTGTGATCTGCAGGAGGAGTGCTGCATTTTCACCCAGATAATGTGTGCAACGAGGATCGAGACAAAGTAAGAATGAAAGACTGTTGTTCCTGCTTTGCTCCTGGTTTGAATAGAATTTGTATTTCATTGTACACTCAGTCTTATGTCTCCTTCCTTTTTGTCTGCTCTCTCCTTTATGTGCAGATGGAGGACAGCCCGAGCCCCAAAAGGCAGCGTCTTTCCCAGCAGTCCATGTTAGACCTCGGCCCGGCTCCTCAGTCCACTCCCTCCTCCCCCATTCGGCCGTGGGAGCTTCCCCCCAGCCGCAGATCCCACCCCCACTACATGCCCGAGAGATGCCACACACCCGTCAGAAACCGCCGCAGGTAGATTATCCGAGAGACATAATAAAAGTTCGTAATGCATCAGGTGTGCTTTAGTTTGTATCACTTGGCAGCACATTAGACGATAATCTACCAAGGAAGACAAAACGCACAGAAAACATGGCATCCCCTTGCATGTTGACAAAGGGAATCATTAGCAATAACAAAACTGATGCACTGCATCTATCTGCTAATTCTAGAATTTTCAAATCTGAATATGAAGTGAACAATAACTGAAGGAAATTGAAGTTTTTAAGTTGTTTCTATTTATTCTTTTCTTATATAACCACAGACTGAAAAAAGTGTGTTTGATTTAACCATAATAATTTAATAAATTACAGCATTAATTCTGTTTTCAGGAGACCTGGAGAATTTTTTTTCCAATTTTAAAAGTTTCAGAAGGCTATTTGATCATTTGAATTATATTCATGGTTCCTTGTTCTTAAAAAAGTCTCATTCCTGCTTCATTTAGGAGAGTATGTGTAAAAATCTACGCAACAGGTTTAGACCTCATTTTGTTAATGTCTACATTTTGAATAAGTTTAACAGGAATAGACTGAGGGGGAAATAAATGCTCTGTGTGCCTTTAGCCTCACATTTCTGGTCCAATTTGAACTTTTAGAATTATATTTTAATAATTGTTCGCATACATATGATTAAAGCTGTTCTGTGTAGTAGGGATTGATGATCAATGAAGGTTTTTAATGTTGCCATCAGTCTACAATGATATAATGATATAATATAATGATCAACAATATGTGCTGCAGATTTCTTTTTTTCCCCCTTTTCTTTTGGGCTGATTTAAAAGATGAAATAACACACGGGTTATAAAATGTTACTCAAAGATTGCTCACCATGAAATCAAGGTTAAGGCAATAAAGCAATGGTACAGTAACAGCCGAATGCCTCTACAAAAGACAAAAATAGGTGATTGATGTGTTTTGTTGGAAACCATGTGTTTAAAATATCTCTTAAACAAAAACAGGAATATTAATAATCTTGCATAACAGTCAAAAGACTGCTAAAAGAATTTAACTACAGTACTCCTTTGAGAGAAATCTCTGTAAAGAAAATTTTTGATCTTTTCAGTTGTGTCCCTGTTGTTTTATCACTGAGATTTTATTTCATATCCAGATTATATTCTATATTGTACCAAAAAGAATGCTGTTTGTGATATATCATTTGTTTAGCCTAAATATTTATGGTGTCTGACATTGAATGTTTAGGGTTTACCCAGATATTCTTGAGTTTTACTATTTTATCAACACGATTCCCATTGCCCCTCCTTTAGTTTATGTGTCTGTGTTTAACTTCAGTCCTCCAATGAGACGCCAGCGTGGCCGGAGAGACCGTTTGACTCGCCACCACCACCACTATAACAGCAACAACAATCACCATCACCACCCAAACAGCCACCATCATCACCATCTGCACTCCCACCATGGCCCGTCGCAGGGACATCAGGATGAGAACTACCGGCACCCGGCTCCTCCTCAGGGTTACCCACCCTACAGCCAGCAGCCTCCCAGGGGGCCAATTCCAGGCCCTGAAGACCGCCCAGGTTACCATCCTCCTAACCCCTCCCCTAGGCCCCTTCATCATCAATCACCAAACCTGTCTCCCAGGCTGCTGCACCCTGGCGCCCATCCACAGCACCCACATCCCCACCCATCCCAGCAACAGAGCAGTGGGGTCCTAGATCTGCAGGAGCAGGTGGGTTTTATGAGAACAAAGCAGCTTCATTTGTAGTAAATGTGCTGAAAAAATCAGGCATTGTTAAGAATAAAGAGAAGATTCTAGAAAATAAAAAAAATAAACTTAAGATGATGAGACGGACCTGCTGTTTATATATTCGCAGTAAACTTGGTGTAGTTGGATTTGAAAAAAATACCTTGTAATTTTGTCTTGAAGATTAAATCTACGTGTTGGAAATGCTCCAGAACTAATTTGAATAACACAGGGGTAATAAAATGTTAGCCAAATATCACTTCTTCTTCATGTGAATAACACAGACACATTGATGCTTTTCCTTTGGCACATTTTTTTTATTTATTTATTTATTTTTTTAGAAAAAAATTCACCTAAAATCAACGCAATGTGGAAATGAAATAAAAGCCCAGACTAATAATAGCAGATATAGTTGAATAGTTTGTCAGATTGTCTGATCTGTAATTGCCAGCTCACATAAAAAATCTAAAAGCATTTTGATTCTGTAAAATCAGCTTTTATCTTTTTCCATCTCTACTCCAAGTTAAACCTTTTCTAAATCCTCCTGATTTTAAAAAGGTAATTTGTGTCCTAATTGGCTCCAGAATATTTTTATTTCGGTTTCTCTTTCATCCCTCATTTGCCTTCATCTTGTCCAAAATGCAGCTTCCAGTCTTCTAGCCGATGCCTCCAAAATCATCACGTTAAATCAGTTTTTATTAGATACCAAAGATCAGATCCAAACACTGGTGAGCAGCCGTTCTCAGTGGCAGCGCTCCAAACTGATCACCACTGATCCAAATCTGTTTCAACAAAAATACTCAGTAACTCAGGCTAGCTTTTAATAAAAACATTTCCACATTCTTTTCAGTGATTTGTATTTTCTTAATTGTTGTAGTTCTTACAGTCAGTGTTATGTGTTCTTTATCCTTGTCTTTATTTTTAGTTGTAAAGCAAATTGTGTCCCTTATTCTCAGTGTTGAGGGCTCAATCGATTTTTGTTTCCATTGATATACCTCACTGGACAATAAAAACTTTTGATGTGTTAGAATGTATTTATTTTAACCAGGACATCTGTGAATATTGCTGCTACTGCTCCGGTGCTCTGTCAGAACAGCATACGCTGTCAGATCTGCATACATTGTTCTAATATGCATGTGAGCACAGGCGAAACAGAATTAATCCCACATTGAATTTTAGCAGCAGTGTACTGACAGTCAAAAACATGTTTATTGTAACTTTTAAAAAAGAAAATCAGCTTTGATTATACTGTTATTTCGTGGATGCAAAAACGGCCAGACATGATAGAAGTTTCCGGGATGTTCAGAGAAGAAGACTCTTTAGATAAAACCATATTAGTAGATATGAATTTAAAATAAGTTATTTTAGTAGTTAAAAAAAAAAAAAAAAAAAACTTGTGCGGGAACTTAAATGTTTGATTTTCATGTTGAAAATCATAGAAAAAATTGGCTATGCTTTATATTGTGACTCAGAATTCATTTAGGTTAGATCCAATCTGAATGGCGAATGCTGTTCTGGTAGAACACCGGGCTCTCTGCTCGGTTTTAGTCTGTGTGTATAAAGTTGTGAATATGTTCTCTTTGGGTTCTTGTTTCAGGGTCCAGTTTCGGTATCATATCCTGTGTCCCCTCCGGGTATGCCACCAGGCCTTCCCCCCCGCTCTGCTCCGCAGCAGATCCCAGCATGCTCTGTGGTTTTCAGCGGGCAGCATTATCCCGTCTGCAGTGTCCCTCCTCCTGTAAGTGTGTTTGTATTCTGTTTCTGTAAAACAGGTATTCTTTACCCCCCCTTTTCTGTATTTTTAACATTTTTCATCCAGCATACCTCACTCACTAAAACCTTTTTTAATGTTTCAGGTTCTGCAGACTTGTTCCGTTCAGCATCTGCCCATGCCCTACCCGTTCCCGTCATTGCTGTCCAGTGACCCTACTTTCCTGATTCCTCCTCCTCACCTCACCCACCCTCCAACGCATCTCTCCCACCACCCGCCACACTTGCCGCAGGCCGCCCAGTTTGGACCTTACCCAGCACAGCAGGCCCGATCGGTGAGTACGAAGTCAGAGTATACAGACATTCGTATTTTACATAATAATGATAATAATAATTAATTATCTCTAAAAGTAGAGATAATAGGTATGCCATGTTACAGCGGATTACCTTCATCACTTGGAACAGAACAGCAGGCTGCATTAATAAAAATGTTGAAGTATTTGGAACATATAATATTGGTTTAACTGATCAAGAGAGCGATGCAGCAGAAAAAGCATTTGAATAATACGAGAATTACTAAACATTTGGTAAATCTGTCAAAGTCTTCAAAGTACAAATTTAATTCCTGTTCAAATTGTGTCAAAGAGAGAGAATAGGGGTGAGTATTGACATGGTTGTTGTGATTTGATATGTGTCAAGATACAATATTATTAAAATATTGTATTCAAATTAAATCTGTATTGAATAAAAATGATGTAATGTACCACTGCATGATTCCCTTTTCAAAACGATTTAACCTGCTTCACTGAAGCTCATTACAAATTAATAGGATTAGTACATCTCTCTGTTCCACTGAAGGATGGGATGGTCTTCTTTTGCCAAAAGAGGCTCAGCTATTTATACTCTTTTCTATAAAAGAACTTTATACTTTTGTCTAATTGTTAGGCTTTTGATCTTGTAATGCTCTTTTTCAGTTTTCTAATATTTCTTTTGTTTCTTTTTTTACATAAAACAAGTAGGAGATTGACTGTCAAATTACAACTGATTTTATTATTCATGTGAATCCGAATTATGAGCACTTGAAGCTGATTCCAATTGTTTTAATTTGTAATCTAGTTTAATTTTTTTTTTTTTATTATTATATTTTGTTTGTGTTATCAGCTCAAGTTTTGTATAACTTTGTAAATTTCATTTTATGTTACAGTCCCTGTCTTAGACTTGTAAAGTGAAGAATTTTTCATTCAGTACAGCTTTATGGAAAGAGGTTTTCACATCTAATGGAAAATCACCTAGTTAAGTAAAATGGGAAAAAAACTAAACCTGCAGTTGAGTGAAATTTCACAATTTCAGGCACATCTAAAATGCAACCCATTAACTTGGTTTATATTCACTAATTTAAGAATTTTACATTTCTTCCATGTTAATTTTTTTATTTTTTTTGTAGCTTTTTTTGATAGCATGTTTTTCTGTTTTCTTTCCTATTTTTCTTTTAAAGCCTCTTCAACCTGATGTGCATTTTGTTTGCTCATGATAATCATTAGTACAAATGAATTATGTTATACTTTATAAGAGACACTAAGAACCGGCGGGTTATTCATTTCATAATGCTTAAAAAATTGTCCACATCTTTTGTGAATTAATTTTAAAAAAGCATTTAGATTGAAATCTACATGGAAAACAAGGCTTCTTTAAGTTATGTCAAAGGGAAAGGGATATCTGCCCTTTTTTTGTCGGATGCAAACTTTTGGTTAGAAAAATATGTAATTAATAAAAGCTTTAAAGCAGCATGGTAACTTTTTCTCAACATACAATTTTGGACCAGCAGACTGGAAAGTCATGGGCTCGATCCGAATACCTCATATAGCTACTGTGTTATACATGTTATACATACATGTACTCGTCTTCATATGTTTTGGGTTTTATAATCCAGTCCAGTCACTACATTTGTGAGGAATTTTTTTTTTTGTAGTTATTTTCCAGAAGGCTGTATTCCCCCTTTGACTAGTATAATATGTGTAAATATCGCCACGTAATGACATCCATAAGGCTGAAGGCTGCCTGGATTCAGCACAGCAGTCAGAGGGTAGCGGCTATAATCTGAGGCATTCGGATCGAGTCATGGCATTACTTTTAAAGACAAGGCCACAATCAGCCCTTTAGATTAAATCCTACATCAGCACCTAAAATACATCTGATCAGGTAAGCGTCATATCTGTTCTGTTGCCAAGCAACAACTGTTGAGGGTGAACTCCATTGTTTAAGTGGAGCTCAGACTGCTATAAGGTGACTGATCCGACCCTCCAAAGTTGCATAGGGAGTTTGTTTTTATTAGGTCAGCCTGCATAGAGCTTTGATACGTTCCAAGTGCTGTATACTGACCTAAAAAGTCCTTTTAAGCTGCTGATTAATCATAATCTCTAACTGATGGATGTTTTTTTTACTCCCTGTCAGGATGGCCACATATTATTGAATCCTTTAAGTGCAAAAATGTTGGATGCCTTTTTTTTTTATTTTTATTTTTTTATGCCAATCCCACTTTTGATTATTGTTACTTGACTCTATTCAACATCTGGGTTTTTCATTTGAAAAAAGATGGTATTTTTGTTTTTTAATCATATTGGGTTACAATATATTTGGAGTGTTTTGAATTTATTCTTTGTAAAACACTTAAATTGGATGACTTTTAAACTGTTTTTGAATGTGTTTTAAAATGTGTTTTTTTTTTTGTGCTGTTTTGTTCTGCCTCTCCAGCCTTTACAGAGAATAGAAAATGATGTGGAGCTGCTGGGCGAGCATCTGTCTCTGGGTGCTGGGCTTCACTACTCCCCAGCTGCACACCCAGCCCTCACCCCACACTCTACACCCCTCCACTTCCTCTCCCATGAGCCCCTGACACAGGAGTTTTTTGGAGTGGTGAGCTTTGACAACCAAGTGCATTTAAAAGGCGGACATTTCTTCTTTGTGGGTGTGAACATTCTGACATATCACCATGTTATTTATCTTCCCTTTAGTCTTATCCAAACTTCATCCCTCGACGTCTCCCAGGGCGGCGGTACCGTTCCCAACAGCTTCCACCTTCGCCTTATCACCCCAGCCTCCTGCCTTACGTGCTGTATGTTCACTGGGTAGCTTGCCAATCAAAAAGAAAAGATGATTACCATTTAAAACGGCTTCTCTTAAATGTTTTTGTGGATTTCTTTGCACACAGATCAATGCTGCCAGTCCAGCCCACAGGTCCTGCAATCAGCCTGGAGCTGGATGTAGATGATGGAGAAGTGGAGAATTATGAGGTATCTTATTTCCCGCCACTGTTTGTGTGCTGTTACCAGATACAGACTTTTAACTCTGGTGTTGTTCCGCATGTTTTCTCCAAAGGCCCTCCTCAATCTTGCGGAGCGCCTGGGAGAGGCCAAACTCCGAGGACTGACCAAGGGGGACATTGAACAACTCCCTTCCTATCGCTTCAACCCAAATAACCATCAGTCTGAGCAAACACTGTAAGTGCTGTCCTTTCAAAAAGCCTTTATATGCTGATATACGGCAAGTATTGTTTGTTCTTTTTTTGAACCTTGTGCCACAGACTGCAGTTAAGTTCTAGCTTTAATCTGCATATTTTGTAATTTCTCTAAATCCAGAAGCAACTCGAAGTTTTCCACACATGGTGCCTGAAAGGTGATTTTGGTACTTTAAGACAACTGTAGCTATTTGTCTGCTGTTGGAATAACATGACCTAAACAGACAAGGTCTCCGAATAATGTTGTCAATCTCTGTTACAGGTTCAAGTACGATCTTCCAAAAAAATGTTTGCATTGCTTAGGGCGTTTTTACAGTGTGAATTGAATGTTGCAGCACAGTACACTAACACATGTCTGGTTACAGGTGTGTGGTATGTATGAGTGATTTTGAATCCCGTCAACTGCTGCGAGTTCTTCCCTGCAGTCACGAGTTCCATGGGAAGTGTGTCGACAAGTGGCTGAGGGTGAGTCGGCACCCCCTGACCCCAGAATCTATCACATACTCTAAACTTTTATTTAAGTTGTCGTCTCTGTGATTTATTCCATGTTTAAAACTTGTATTCAAACAGTGATACATGTCGAGCTTATTACAGTTAATTTGGGAGATAATGGCTTACAGTTAATGCAAACAAAAAAATCTGTTCTGTAGAAAATTAAGGTTGTTATGAGACCAATATACCCTATTTGCCCGAATATAAGACAAGGTTTTTTTTTTTTTTTTTTTTTGTGAGAAACGTGGAAATGTGTGGTCGTCTTATAATTGGGGGTCTAACGAATTATACAGGCTAACAGTTGTCTCGGATCGCTACACGACCGCAACAGCAGAGGGCACCAGTTTCTGGTAAAGCCTGTGACCTCACTGTGGCTTTGGTTATTGTTTTAATCACAACAGAGAAGAAGTGACAAGGATGCTACTAATAGTCACTGCCCAGAACGGACTGGATCAAAAGTAGGACAAGTTTGCAGACATTTGAGGCAGAGCTATGACGCCAATTTTAAAACAATGGTGGTCAATGCAGATGCACAGTTACAGAGTGCAATATCAGAAGATGGAACGTTCAAAAAGACCAGAAAAATGCAATTGGCAAAAGAACACTTGCACACAAATGCAGAGCTGCAGGGTGAGAGTAGGAGTGATGAGGCATAAGGACGTCTGTGTAAAAACCTCATAATAATGATAATTGAAATTTATTGATCTAACACTGGAGAAATTTACCTCTGCATTTAACCCTTCCCCTTGGGAGTGGTGGGCTGTCACTTTGCAACACCTGGGGAGCAGTGTGGGGTTAAAGGTCTTGCTCAGGGACCCAGAGTGGAGGCTGTGGGGATCGAACCAGTTACATGCAACCTTTTCAGAGCACAAGCGCACTGCTCTAACCCACTAGACCAACACTCCCCTATTTCTTCTCTGAGAAAAGTTCAGATTGTATTTAAGTTGAAGTGTTGCAAGATTTCAATTAAATGTGCCATTACTGTGTTTTTTTTTTTCTCCTTTATATTGTTTAATTACACAAATCCTTCGATGCAATATTATTTCAATGAAATTGTTAGTTCTTCAATATAAAATAGTTGATTAAAATGGTCATTCTTTTCTTTTTGTTTTGCTCTTAAAAACCGGTCCCCGAAAGAGAGGGTCGTCTTTTAATCAGGGTCGTCCTATATTCGGTTCAGTACGGTAAAAGGGGTTTTGATATGGAAAGTATGTCCATTAAGGCTTTTGCATTGTCCTTTAACATGAGGTACTGCATTAATGCAGCGCGGCTCTGAGGCGTTCAAGGAGCTCAGTTTTCTTTCATAGCAATCTTTAGTACGTCTAAATTGGTTCATCAATAACCCATATAGATCACTGCAGGGTTTAGGTCCCATCTGATTTAAGCTCATGATAATTAAAGCCGGTATTGATGCCTTAGACAGTTTGGACAGGTTCCTGCTGGAAAAGTCATATCAGCATCTCTGTAAGTGAATCCGAGAGTCGCTTTATGAAGCTCTCACTCAGACTCCGGTACGCGTTTTGTAAATGTCCCTCCAGTTCTTAAATGGATTTTATTTTAAATCATGCTTTTATTTTGCTTGAGGGTCTTTTTCTGCCACGACTAGTTCTGCCATCTTAACTTTCTATGAAAGTGCTTGTGTGCAGCGCTCTGTAAAGCTTCTTTAACAATAGCCTTTTGGGACTCAGCCCACTGGAAGAGAGTAGCTGAACTCCCCATTCCTATAATAAAATACCCTTTATTAGTCTGATGCTCTAATACTATGAAAAACAGAATTTTGGGTTTTCATAAACTCTCTAAATTTCCCCTCTGTTATTCTCCAGGCCAACAGGACGTGTCCTATCTGTCGAGCCGATGCCTCGGAGGTCCAGCGAGACTCGGAGTGACCACAGGAGGGAGCCATGCACTTCCTGCCTTCGGTCTAACTCATCTAGCACTGCCTGCTCCTGATGGACACACAGACACATGCAGCGTTACCTTTCATGTTGGTGGAGCACTTTATTCTCCATGGTCGTTTCTTTCTTTGATAAATATTTTATTGTACATTTAATGTTTTCTTCAAACCTAAAAACTTGTCACACTCCTTTCCTTTCTGTACATGCACAATGTTTAAGTGAATGACTCGCCTTCCTGCAGTAGTGTGTGAGTGTGTGTGGGTCTGCATACAAACATTGATCTGCTCTATAATGCAGGGATTTGGTACACGAGTGTTTGTGTTTGTAGATGTGGGAGAGATTTGAGGTATCCTAGAGTATGCATGAGATGTTCTGTACTGGACAAGAGTAACAGATGTTTTTTTTGGTTTTTTTTCTTTGTCATTTCCTCCCATTTTCTATGATTATGCACTGTCTGGATGCATACTCGGTGTGTATGTATGTTATAGACTTTTCTCGGGTTTGACACTATGGGTCCATGCTGTTGCTGTGTTTTTCAGTTGCCGTTATTATTATTATTATTATTGGTTGTTTTTCTGTCTGACCGTTACCTCATTATGTATTTCTAATTACAAATGCTTCATTACACCATTTTGACATTTAACAAATATTTTCCTTTTCTTTTTAAAGGAAGTTTGTCCGTGGTTTTGCAGTGGCACATGTTACATATATATATCTATAAATATATATATATATACTGTAAAAATCTATGAATATCTATATACCAAATAAAATGCTTGATATGATTTTTTTTTTAAATGTTGTATTTTGTAATTGTTCTTAAGTCCAGGATGAGACCCAGTGTAAAAGTTTTAATTCGGATAGGTTAGTTTACTTTGTTTAAATGTAATTAGAGCACTGGTTTTAATGAGTGTATTTGGCTTAACTGCCACTAGATGGTGCTGCTACACTTCTGCATCTGAACACTTAAACCTCAGGGTAAAAACCATTTGTATAAAAATAATGAACAAAATGTAAAGGGGGATAATTAGAAAATGGTAAAATAACGAGATCAACTTAATTAAAAATCGTAGTCTGCTCTATAACAAACATCTCATGCTTTTAGGAGCTAAGATTTCCAAACTACTTTGGAGTATTTTTATTCAAAGTGATTTCTTTTTTTTTTTATTTCCCAACACATACTTGCTGAAGGCTAAACCTTGACTGGACCTCATTAACATTATTTTCTTTAATTTGTGCTCTTCTGGTGTAGATTTTTTTTTTCTTCTTCTTCCCATGGTCTTTATTCTGTTCCATGACTCTGTTTGGCCAAGTTTCAGCTGGCAAACACTTTGCTGCACATTTACCTCTAAAATGCATTACTCTGCGGAGAAGTTAAGTTTAATTTAGTGACTGATAAATAGCCTAATCCTTCGGCTCCAAAATGAGCCCCAGTCACCAGCCAATGACCACCAATACAGTTGTTAAAGCAGACTTTTTGTTTTTTTCTTTGGAAAGCGGGTTGTTCCCTGGTCTTAAACTCACAGGAAAACTGGAAAAATGCTTGATAAAGCTGGGATTGATCCCACTGTACAAAAAAACCCCCGGACATTTGAAATTGACTTAAGATCCTTTACATTTTCTGCATTAGTATTATTGCACATGTCCTTACACTCTGCAATTATTTACATGCACATAAGCAAACAAGTAATATGCTTGATGTTTAATATAAACAGATGTGGCAAAATCTATTGGTTATTTAATTATTTTGCTAAGCAGCAGCTGCCAGCTGATCTCTTAAATCCAATAGCAGCAGTAATGGTTTATAACTTTTAACACAGATTTTCCATATCTGCTTCATCTAAATAAATGAAGTGTCAAAACACGTTTTTGTATGTTTTTCTTTTGCATTGAAATTAGCTTAAAACTCTCCAAGATGATCTTTTTAATCTTGGCTGTATTTTGTTCATGAATTAATCTCTGGTTTTACAGTAACTGAAGTGTCCTCATTGTGTTTGCACAGTACAGATGATTTATCCACCATGTTTTCCTGCAGCTGTGCCGTTGCCCTGTGCCTTCTGTTGAGTAAGAGCAACTGTTACTGTATAGACCTATAAAATGCTGTAATGTTTAAATACAAAGGCCAGGTGTCACCTCCAGGCTTTGCTGCATAAGTGGCCTCATTTTAACAAGCAGCCTGCCCAGGGCTGGTTAAGGCTAACAAAATACAAATGTCACTGTTCGTAATGGAGCAAAAAATACAGAGCACATCATATTATTACTTCAGTCTCTAAATATTCCATTGTCAAATTCAGATCTGGCTTTAGAGCCAAATATCTGAATTATGCGTTTACTCACTTACACAATGTAAGGACGTCAACCAGATAGGATAGGACCACTCTTGTGCAAGAGAGAAAGTCTTCCAGTGACCCTGCAGTGTGTTGAGTTAAAAACAGTCAATTATGACAGCTTAGTCATTTGTGAATTTCTGATACACTAAGATTTTTTAGTGTCTGTATGAAATACCGGTTTGTGTTTTTTTTTTTTTTTTTTTTTTTTCCTATTCCTCAATGAAATATTTAAACGTTGATCTAAAACAATGACAAGCTGCTCTCTGTTGATCAACACACCCGGTCCCCCAATGAAGCTCATTCTATACAACAAAAGCTGGACATTTGTTTTAAAATATGCACACATTCATAAATAAAACTAATTATATTTTATTCCATACAACCTATGTTTTACAGCATTTACAATCATTTTTAACAATTCAGTTCGGGTTTGACAGGTCTTAATGTTGTTTCTTGAAGGATGAGTTTCAGTCTCAGTGGGTTTTTTTAGATTTGGGAATAATACAATTTCAATTCTTGCAGCTCATTTAGTTGGGTCTAAATACTATAAATAGGCCTACATAAGAATCTGAAAATAGGGGCGGTCAAATCCAGCCTCTAAAAACTGAAATAAGCCTTTGGATTTAACCTGTCAAAACCCATGCAGTAGAATATGCTAGCCACAAGGGGGCATTCCCATTGACTATATAGGTAAATCAGGAATTGGAAATTCTTTGAAAGAATTAAACCAACACTAACTGTGAAATTCCTTTGAATTTACAGAAAAAAGGGAGGTGCACCTTACATCGTGATATTTCATACTTAGACTAGATTCATATACACATTTTAACCTCTCAGAAAACCAGAGCATTTAAGCACATAGTGATTGTTATTAATGGTTCATTAAACCCCAAAAACAAATTTCTAATCAGTCACAATAGATTTTTTTCAGTTTATTTTGTTGGAAAGAACAGATAGTTGACTCTGCTTAGACTTTTTTTTTTCACCTGGGCTTTTTAAATCCCTCCACTGATTTTTTACAATTTTAACAGCTGATTTAAACTTTCCTGAGTTGGAATTTTCATCGGTCAGATTTTCATGGATAACAGTTCTTGCCAAAATGAATTACATTTTGGGATTTTCCAAGGAATGAGGTCATTTACAAAGCAATGCCTTGTGGACCCTCTCTGACCGTGTCCTAAACACTATATTTAAAGGCATTTAGTGAAATTTCTTTATTTTTGATGAAAAGAACTAAGGAAATTTTTTTTGTGAAGAACTAAAGGTATATTTTCAGATGGACTATGGAAAGAAAGATTTCACACACCATCTCTACGTGTTGTTCTCAAATCGTTCACATACATTGCTGGGTTGGCCATGTGCGCCTAAACAGCTACAACTCAGGGCTTACCAATTTAGCATAGGAGCCAAAGGACCAAAATGTTCACATGAAGACAATCAGGGCTCATCTTTACCACAAAAAACAAAACAAAAACAACAGTCTGACAAAGGAGGTGTCAGATAAGGAAAGGGACAAAATGAGGATCAAGATTGGCCTGGTCTTTCCAGGATGGAGAGCCCTTTAGTAGAAGCAGTTCCAGTTTGACTGAGAGATAGTTGTTCTCCTAGACTGCTGAGAAACAATGTAAAGTCAGATGTTTGTTTTTGTGTGTGTAACAGTCTTGTAATACTTGTGCTGCTGTGTTGTGCAAAACGGACATGTTAAAAATAGGATTACAAGAGAATGAAAGATCATAAAGATACAGTAAAATATAATTGCTGGAGCTGTCGAGATACTAACATGTGGGGTATATTCTTAAAATAAAATACGTTCTTTACCAGATAAGCCCAGATGAAGCATTCCAAAGCTCCATCCCTACCACATCATTTACACAAATGCAACTCCACAAATGCAACTCGTATATGGCCACCAAAGCTCACGGACATAAACAAATCTCATCAAACATCATGCAAACACTTTGTCTGCACTAATGAAAACTTCCTATGAAGATGCTTCTTGTTCATTCTGCAAAAAATATCAATGGTCAGCTGATTTTCAAATATTAGGGAAAAAGGCATGACTGTGATATATCAACAGTACAATACACTGTGCTAATACATGGAACCACTTTTGATCCCAATAAAAGTGGCCTAAAACAATCAGGACATGGAGAAAAAAAGAGGATACTTCATTGAAGATACAGGACTTTGAGTTTAACAAAAATTTTCTTCGTTTTACATAAACTAAACTATTTTACTCCATGCAAACATGCCTGGAAAGAAAAGAAACAGTGTGACAGCAGCTCTGATTTTAAAGTTATTGTTTAATGAAACAAGAAGCATAATTTTATGGGCTTGATGAGTCAGAGACTTTTTTTTTTTTGTTCCACCCGATTTTTAGCCTCTAGTCCTCAGTTTTTGTTTTTCAATGCATCCCGTAACACACCCTAATCTTCCACTCCATCACCTCATTTCCTGCATTTGCTCTCTCTCTTCAAACACTTCTTTCTTTCCCTGTACATTGACCTGACCCTCTTTCCTCTCTTCTTGTCTTTATACTTTTGTTTCCTTCCTCTGCCTCTTTGCTGCTGCCATGATCGCCACCCACTCCCTTAACCTGCTTCCGCTGCACTGAACTGGAAGTGATGGGGAATTTCTGTCTGGAGCTGGCGGCCCAGTTACTTCCAGAAACAGACGCCATTTGCCTTGTCTTAGCCATGTTTCACACATATATTACTAACTAAGGCTGCTCATAGTTTCCCAAAAATTAATAGCAGATGAGCAAATTATGCTAAAAAGATTCTATAATTTCTACAATAATGAAGGTTAGACCTCACAGCCTGTATGCCATTCAAGTTTTAAACATTGTGCATATTTGTCACAGTTACAAAACACTTTGCAATGCATCACATTTGATTTACACATGGACTACTTCCTTCATTATTTATTTTTTTCCCACAGCTGAGCTTTAGCACCCGAGAGGAGTCTCCGTGTAAAAGTTCTGGTTTGAATGTTCTGTTTGGTTGGTTAGTCTCACTCTGAGTGCTCATGTGTGTGTTGATGTCTTGAGGCTTTGCCCTGACGGCTGACGCGTTCCAGACAGCTTGTCTCGCAGTGACTACAAAGAAGATCAGTTTTCTCCATTTGTGTCTGTCAGAATCAGATTAGATGGAAGGAGAGGGGACATCACATTGAGTACTTATGTAATCACTTGATGCAGTCATTTCTTGAGGAAGCATTTATTTTAATTAGTTATGCAAATGTTTTCTACCATCAGATCAATGGATATTTTTCAAGCCAGACTTTGTGTTTTTTCTATTCTCAGATTGTTTTTTTAATCTTATTCAATTCTATGAATAAGATGTTTAAGATATTTTAAAATTATTAATGACATTTTTTCTAAGCAGAGTTCAGAAGTCATTTCTTGCCAAAAGTATTTGCTTACTTAATCACTTCTATTGCCAAAG